CTTCAAAATATTTTTTTAATATATATATATATATCCCACCTCATCTCTCTTCCCCTCTAACTTTGTACATTGCACAGTTCTAGAAGCGGAATTTCTAGTACATTTTATTTTTATAGTTGATTTTACTGTTTTATTTCAAAAACCCACAACAAACTTCAGTTGTTGTTGTTTTAAAGATTAAGTAGCCATTTGAGAAAATCCAATCCATCGGATATATCATCATCATTAAAGAAACATAGTTTTAAGAGCCTCAAACGATGTTCAGTTGGTGACTTTTTAAGATTAAAAGGAAACGTTTGAAAAATTTAATCTCTCTAATACTTACTTACCCCTTCATCCATTAAGGGATGAGAATGAACTTAACTTCTTTTGAAGACCTGCTAACTTCAATTATTGATGTTTTGAAGATTAAATGGCAATTTGGGAAAATCCAATCTATCGAATTCTTACGCCTTAATGATCAGTAAAAAATAATCCTAACTTAGTTTAATGATTAACCAACAATTTGTTGTTGTTTTGAAATTACGTGTCAATTGTGAAGGAATCAAGCCTCTCGACAGTTTGTATATGTACAAGCAGTAAAAAATAACATTATCTTAGTTTTAAGACAGTAATACTAAAGTTTTTTGTGTTTAAAAAATTAATTAAAATTTTTACAAATTTTAAGGAAATGGAAATGCAACGACAAGTTGAAATAGTTCGGACACGTCAGGAAGTGTTTTTGCCCTTATAAATGTTAAAAAAGAAATAAACTTATGAAGTTCTCATTTGAAAATTATTAAGGGTTTAAGGGCAGTGATAGAACGAAGCTAACTGATGATTTAAGCTTTGAGACACTGAAGAATAAAATATTCAAACCAGTTATTTTTTCTTTTTTGAACAGAAAACTAGGATTTGAATGTACAGAGCATTGCAGCCATTTTGAGAAAAATAACAATAGTTTTGTTTGAATATTGCAGACAGTATTCTCACATATGTTAAATGAATCATTTATTCCGTCAGGGTCTCATTCCAAGAAGCGAGGAAAGATTGTTAATCACGAATGGGCCTTAAAAGGATAAAATAACAGTGGTTTTAATCAGTCGGGTAGATAGCAGCGCGTCGCTGTCGTGGGCAGCCGAATCGAGATCCCAGAACTTACTCACGTGTCGTCTTTTTGTGAAGCCGTCGACCCGCGACCGGTCCATCGGCATCGGCGTCTGCATCCTCTGCTGCTCGGGCACCGGCCGGAACCGGCGCCTGGTTCCCTCCCACATCGAGATCGAGGGCGATCCTCGTCGGGCCGGGTATCAGAAAGATGCAGCTAAGCCCCACCTCAATCACGATCCGCTCAGCTCTGAGCCGTTAATAATCCCATCTTTCCTCGTCGCGAACTGACATCCCGCGGTTATCTTGTACTGTATTTTTTCTATTTTGACAAATAATAAAAACTTAAAAGCTTCGTAAACCGCTCATGTGTTTAAACCTGAGTTAATGATAAACGAGAAGGTTTCAACCCTTTAAAACAAAACTTTTACAACTGTGGTAATGTTTTCTTGATATATCTTTTTTGACTCCATGTATTTCGGGACAACCTCTCTCCTCTTCAACACATTTAGGGACAAATTGTTCCGAAATGTATACGCAAAAAGAGAAACCAGACTGTTTGATACTCCACCAAAAAGAAACCCACATCCGTTATAAGTGCCACACCCATAGGAAAACGTAGTTCGACTTTCATTAGCAAATTATTTCCGTCTGTTTTCCATTCTTTTCATTAATAAATTACTAATAAAACTAAGTCTTTGCTGATAATGAAATTTTAAGTAGTCAAGATACTTAATTTTTTCTTTTATATGTACTGATTATTTTGTAGAAACAATATGAAGAATAAATAATAAAAAGGGAACATGCTTGTAAAGCAGCCAACGTATATTTTATTACAGATTGTTTTTGCCAAGCTGTTTTTTTTTAGCTCAAACACTAAAATAAATTTTTAAAACAAGCGTAAATTAAGAACATTCTATGCTTCATTTTACATGTGACAAGAAGAATTTTAAAGGTGAAGTGTTATGTAAAGTGCCAGATTTGTAGGAAGAGAAAAATCTTGGCACTTTGAACCTTTTGGTTAAAAAATAAAGTCGAAATATTTTCTTCACGACAAAACATGTGCTTTAAGAGACAATGGAGACAATTTTTGTAAACTATGCAGTTCAAGAAGAAAATACCACACAGGATAAAAGGCTGGAGTAAATTTGAATCTTTTGTCGGAAAAAATGGGGCTGTTAAATTTCCAATCTCACTCCATGATTTTTTTTTAAATCAATCAAAATATACCTTTGAACTTTGCAAGTTAAACTTCAATTCTCACAATTTGTTATATATTTTCAAGTCGTTAATTACTCAAATATTAAACATTTTCTTAAGTTATGTCAAATTTTTGTTTATATTTTGTAATTTGACAACCTTTCTTCATGCTGTTGCATATGTTGCATAGTATGTTTTCTTTTTTTATTTCGTCTAGCCTAAAAATGTTTTATGCTATCGAATATGATGATAGAATGTCAAGTCCAAAACACTCTTAGGACTTCCAAAATGGAAAAAAAGCAGCCCGACAATGAAAAGACATTACGAGTCAGCTAACCCGTTACTTAAAGTGTTAATGCCTTTTTGTTGTCTGGTTTCTTTCACAGTCTCTTTTTGTTTCACAATATCCTCAACCCATTAGGTCTTACATCGTACAATTTAATATTTACATATTTGAGAAAACAATTTTTTAAAAAGCCAAGTAATTGAGTTTGTTGCTGTTATAAAACTCTGAATCCGAAATGTACATAACGCATAAAAAGTTATAATCAGTATGTATAACGTTGTGAATCGTTAACGGGGATTATCTGAAATGCTCATCAATGTTCAGTGCCAGATGAAATGTTAAACTCGCATTGTCCGGGTTGCACGTGTCTGTCCCATTCTAAACGGTCGAGACGTTGGCTAACAGCCAGGAAAGTGCCTCCATGTCGCCCTGTCGCGACAGTCTCCTCGGTTGAATAAAAAATAAATAAACGTGTCATTAAGGGGCCACTCGCCTCACCCACGGTGTCCAGGAATTGGTCGGAAATCGTGGGCGGGATTTTACGATTTGAGGAAACGCAGCCGGTTACAACGGAAACAGAAACACCAAACAGAACAGACAGGGACAAATCAGTGGACTATTTTTTGAAAATAAGTTATCACAGTTCCGTCAATTCATAATAAGGCTAAAGAAGTTACAGTATTACAATCTGCCACTTCACCTTCAAAATATTTTTTTAATTTGTTACAGAGCCTAAAAACTGTTAAGATTTTTCATTACTGATGTTGGAGGATTCGAAAGCTTGACTCGCCCATAAATTTGCTAAAGTCTCTTACATGATATTCTTTATTGAAGTTTAGGTTTTTATGAGTTTTTATTCTTCCAAAATTAGCACTTCATCTCATAACATAACCTGCACCTCCTTTCATAAGATGTTTAAAATTGTTCGATGGTCATTGGAAAATTATTTCCTAATGTTTGTACGTTCCTTTTATTAATCAAATTAGTCATAAACACATTAAATATTGAGTTGTTGAGATTATTCTTTACTGCTAATAAAATTTTAACTTGTCAAGAGATTTGATTTTTGTCTGTACATCTTGGAACATAACCTGCACTTTTGTTCGTGAGATGTGTAAAATTGTTCGGTTTGTCATTTGTCATTTATTTACTAATGTTTACCCATTGTTTTTATTAATAAAATTAGTCATAAAGTCATTAAACATAAGTCGACATTATTTTTTACAGCTAATGAAATTTTAAATTGTCAAGAAACTTGATTCTTAGCTGTTCATCTTGGAACATAACCAGCACTTTTATTCTAGTTATATCATTTTTTCTACTGTTTTTGTTTTTATTTAAATAAATAAATATTTTAAGATACATTAAAACTATCTTGAAAATATTTATCCTTGTTGAAGGTTTAAGTTATCATAAGACTTGATCCTTTGTTGTTCATCTTGGTGTATAAACTGTACTGCTACTGTTTGCTATGTTGTATCATTTTTTTAAATGTTTTTCTTTTTTCATTTAATTAAAATTTTAAATTATATCAATTGGTTACTGTCTTGAGGTTATGCTTTACTGCCGATGAAGGATTATCTGCACTTTTCTTCCTGATTTGTACCTTATTTTTTTACTGTTTTTTCTTTTTATTAAAATAGATAAAATATTCTGACACATTCTATTCTTCATTGCTGATAAATGAAGTTGCAGGATCTTAAAACTGTGTTAAGATTATTCTTTGAGTGAAGTATTCGAAAGACTTGATTGTTCAAGATAATTCGTTTGAACGTCTTAAAACATCCTGAGATTATCTTTATGGAGCTTTAAGTTGTACGAGTTTCTATTGTTTCAAAACGGGCTCTTTATCTTTTTTTTATTACCTGCAATTCTTTTCTGATATGTTTTGGATGGTTTCGTTGCCAATGGAAATTTATTTTACCAACTGGTTTTCCTTTTTTTAATAATAAAAGGAGACTTAGACTTAAAAAAACCTTGAGCTTAATCTTTACTGCTAATGAAGGTATGATTTCTTAAGTGACTTGATCCTACCAAAATAGGCTCTTGTCTCATAACAGATACGTCTATTTGTGGATTTAAAATAATCCGTCGCGAGTGAAAATTAATTTTTTCTATAATTTCACAATTTATATTGTTTTTATATTGATTTGAGGGATCTTAGCATAACTCATAACTGCAAAGAAAATAAACTGTCAAAATTTATGAATCAAGTCAATATTTTCCCCCTCGTCCCTGGCAGTTGTATAATTTTGGCACTTTAGCAATAGCTCATTTTCTTGATTTATGGATTTAAAAAGCCTAGCGCGTGTTTTTTAAATTAATTCAAGAACTTAATAAAATGCTTGAAACCGATAAACTATAAAAACAGTAAACTACAGATTTTCCTGACTGTGAAATGAAACATACTGACTCCATTTCTTTGAATACATTATAACCCAGCTGTATAATCAATTTATAGAAACAGCTCAAAATTTAGCGAGTATTAAACAATGTAGTATTTAATCTAAATTTAAATTACAATTTAAAAAGTAAAACGGGTAATAACTGAAAACTGCTTGAAAAATAGCAGACGCTTGAACGCTTCAAATCCTTGAGACTTGAAGCCGAATAAGGAATCTGTATGGTGCCATAAAATATGTTTAAGTGCATTATAAACCAATAAAATCATGTTTGTTTTTCGAATGCTATATCGATAGGTTGTGTGTTCAATACCAGCGACTGCACTGTCACTGGATATTATCCTATAAATTACTTATAATGAAACCATGTTCCTGGTTTTAAAGTTTCAAAACAATTTATTTTATTTACTTTGGATTATTCAGTTGGATACTGTTGATGATTTAGGCCACAAAATTAAATCCAAAAAACGCTTTCATATTAGTCGTAGTTCGGAAAGTACGTTAGAGAACTTTATTAAACCATAAAATTAAAATTAAGGTCTAAAATAAAATTTGAATTATTGGAAGGGAGCAATTTTCATGTCTTGCATATAGATGGTGCATATTTGAATATTTAATTGTTAAAGAGGGCAACGTCAAAATTCCGCTTCAATAGGTGCAGAAATATTAACTTAAGTTTTGACTTTTATTTACTCACCCTACTCGGTATATTTATTTTTTAACTACATGCTGATCACGTGTGACCTTTTAATTTTATTAGGAGGCAAAGTCTACAATCTATCGTTAGTGGAAAATTTTATAGTATTAATTCCAAGAATTTTTAAACACTCGGATAATCAGAAATAAAAAATTTAATATTAAAAACCTGTAAATAACTAGTTTTGTCTCATTACCATTTTATAAGAACGATCGTTATCCTTTCATTTTTGTCTATTTTCAAATAATAACTTCTGCCCTGCAACTGGGGAATGTTTTTTTCTCAGAATCTATTTATTGAAAATCCTTAAGCCTTGAAACACCGAAAGAATAAACTTATTTTAAAATAATAAAATAATGCCAAGTTCCGCTTGGCATGAAGGGAAATTCTGCTTAAATCGTTAAAAGAGTTAATAATTGGCATGAGAAGTTTTTCTAACATGTGTACCTTATTCTCACGATCTATTTGTACATTTAACACAAGAAAACTTTTGTCCTAACTACGATAATATATTTTCTTTTCATTAGCATAGAATAAAGGGGGTATAAGGGAAAGCGGTTTGGGAAGTCTAAAACAATTAAAGTTTTAATCGGATTTCATCCAGGACAAAAGATAATAAAGAAGAAAAGCTGTTGTGAGAAGTAAAACAAATATATAAATTAATATTTGTGAGAATTTTGAATAAGAAGTTGTAAGAAAAGGCTTTCATTAAAAAATATAACGTAAAATTCAAAATGTGCAT